AAATACCACCTGTGGGAAGGATACTGCAAAATCCCCATTTCCTCCCGATCAGCTGGGACTCGGCAGGCAGAGAATAGATGGGGGCGAGGCCAGCCAGAGGTGGTATTTGCCGGTTCTCCGAACTACTGAAAATTTTCGCTACTGGCTCTCCAGAACCTGTCAGAACTGGCTAAATACCACCTGTGGGAAGGATACTGCAAAATCCCCATTTCCTCCCGATCAGCTGGGACTCGGCAGGCAGAGAATAGATGGGGGCGAGGCCAGTCAGAGGGGGTATTTGCCAGTTCTCCTAACTACTCAAAATTTCCGCTACTGGTTCTCTAGAACCTGCTGAATTTCACCCCTGCTCCTGCTTGGTACACAGCCAAGCTCCCCCCGCCCCGCTCTACCTCTTGCTGCCTGCCCCTCCACAAAGGCACAAGGAGGGGCTACAGGTCAGCCCCCTGGGTGGGAGAGGGGGCAGGCTTCTTATATCCCATTCCTATAATGGGAGAGGGATTTCTCTGGAGAGGGGCCCTGTGGGAGCTTGGCAAGAGGACGGCTGCAAAACAAACCGGGTAGGGTTCTGCAGTCGACACCACCCCCACCCCGCCACCTTGCGTGGAGCATCTACTGGTGCGAAGGGAACATTGAAGTGCCGGGAGAAGGGGCCACTGGATGGAGAGGGGAGCACAGGGCGCTCCTGAACGGTTCTCTTCTCTCTTTCTCTCTCCCTCCCTCCCCCCCCCATGCAGGAACTTGGGATATCAAAAGTGGGACACGTGAAGAGGATCCTCCAGGGAATTAAGGAGCCTGCTGGGCAGCAGTAGGGGGAAGCGTCTCTGAGGGAGATGGCTTGGTGGCCGTCATCCATCTTCACTGTGTCCACCGGGGTTGCCGGGCCTGGCCCTGCGGCGGCTGAGGTCTTCTTGGGAGGAGCCCCCCGGAGTTTACATTTCCACATTTGCCAAAGATGATGGCTGCGCTGGCTCTTCCTGGCCTCCCCCGTCTCCCGGCCCCCTCCGTGGGGCAGCTGTCGTGGTCCTGTGCTTGAATTATGCTTCTTTCCATGCATGCCACCGTTCTCCCGGCACCAGAGTGGGGGCCTCAGCGATTCTCCTGCATCCCCCTCCTCACACCAGTGGATGCACCACACTCGGTCTTGTGCCAGGGCTGGGGAGGCTGATGGCAATTGGCTGAGGTGCCTCTCACACCCTCCTCTTGAGGTGCCCCTTTTAGAGTTGGGCAAGGGAAGTCCTCTTGATTGGCAATGGTTGGCCAAGCGATTCCGCTGTTCCAGCCGGCCCACGGGAGCAACGGTGCCCCTGAGCAAGAGTAAGGCCCTTCTGCCTTTGTTGTTGACCCCCTGCTCGGCTGGCCCTTTTCCCCCGCGCCCCTGCCACTGGCCCCTGCCCTCCTTTCTTGGGTGGCTGCAGAAGCTTTGGCAGTTCTTTTTTCTCACGGGTCCCTGGAGCTCCCTGGTGGCACCCAGGAGGCAGCTCCGCAGAGCAAGAATTCTAGATCCAATTTCCTTGCGTGATCTGGAGTCTAAACTCTCCCGAGAGTAAGGCAAAAGGTTCCTTCTCAGACCCTAACCCTAATGTTGCTGTGGAGAAGGGAAAGCAGGGAGCCCTTGGAAGGCTGCAGTCGGTGCCACCCCTCCCTCCAACCCGCCCACCTGCCCAGCAGACTGGGCCCTGTGAGGCCAGCTGGCCTGCCCTTGTGCCCCTCTCCCCACCCCCTGCCCCCTTTCTGCATCTTTGCCCCCCTTGATCCAGTCTGTTGGAAAGTGTGATATAGATGTACATACCTTGGAAAGAAGATACCTATTTAAAAGAGTAATATATACCTTAATTTATTTCTCACCTGTATTGCGCAAATGCACTTTTGGAATCTGGATGTAGAGCCTGGAGCCTCTTCTGGGAGCTCCTCAGCCACCACGGGCCACTCTGGGGTGCCAGCTGAGTGCCCAGGGACAGAGACTAACCCCCCCCACCCCCAGTGGTGTTTGATCAGCTTCTTAGTCAGAGCTGCAGGGGAGGCCGCCTTAGCCCCACTGGCACGTGGGGGCATGTACCTATCTTGGCTGAAACTGCAGCCAGCCCACCTTGGCCTTCCCAGCCGAGGGTTGGCACAGCCACTGTTGGGCAGCTGCAGGGGACAGATGGCTTCTGCCACACCCAAGTGGACGGGCAGTCAGTGGGGCCAGGTCTCCTCCATGTTGGGCGCGTGTGCACAGCTGGGCGGGCAGCCGCTTGTCATCGTGTCCATGTGCAACAGAGATTTTACTGCAAGAGTGCCAGGAGTCCTTGGCATCTCCCTTTCTGCTGCAAAGGAACCAACCAGCTCGGTTCTCTGTGTTGGGCAGCCGGTCTCTTTGGCTGACAGGCACGGTGAGGAGGAACACCCGAGGAAGGCAGCAGGGTTGGGATCCTCTGTCCCTTGGGCGTTCCTCGTTGCAGCCTAGCCAAAGGGAGAGGGGGCGCTTTCAGATGCCCGTTTATCCCACCCCCCTCTGCATTTTGGCTGCTCTTTTCTATAGCCCGATGGTAGGGAAAGAGATGGGAGCCACTTCCAGGACACAGGACAGAAGAGGGGGAAAATGAAGTGTGAAACACTGTTCTTAAAACTGGGGGTGGGGGGAGAGGAAAGACCCTGGACTGTGGTTCCAAATTTCAGACATCATGGCCGCAAAATAAATCTCAACATGGATTTGATCTTGGGATAAAGTTCTGTCTTCTCTTCCACGTTGCTTGCGTGTGTGTGTGTGTGTGTGTGTGTGTGTGTGTGTGTGTGTGTGTGAGTGGTGAGTTCCGGACGGTACAGTCGTACCGGGAGTAGCAGCCACCGTACCGGTACAGTGGCTCGTTCGAGCCACCAAATGTTTTGCACACACAGGTAGTGACACCACCCACCCCCGGGGGGGAAGCTGCTTTGCGGCTGGAGTTCCCA